CTTCTGTCCAGGTAGTTCCTGGGAGAGAGCCAGGTTTGGTTAAGAAAGGAGTGGAAGTTTCATGCATATCAAGTAGCGGATGCAGAAGAGTTTGATCCCCATAAATAAACGTTTCAGGAGGCACATGAAAGGAAGGTGAGTAGTGAAAAGAAGAATCAGGAAGAAGACAGCATGGAGCGTTTGGGGGATAACAGTTCAAGGAGCTACAGGATTTTGCATTTTGACCAGAGGCCAAGGTAGACAGAGGAGGGAGGCATGATGGATGTATCCATCTTCTGAATTCTGGCCAGCACAGACCAAGCATTTGGCTGGTGCTGACAGCCTGGTAATGTTAGCCAAACACAGTTATTGCTCAGCCTTTGTATAGAACATTCTTGATAAAACGCCCTGGTGTCTCCTTAAAGAACTCTAGTTCAAGTGTTGGGGAGAGGGTCAGTTGGCTTTCAACAGAATCACAGCAGGCCTTAGGGCCAGGAAGCCTGAGGATTATGTAGTGAAATAGAAGGGACTTGTGGGAAGGGAAGGTGACTTTCCCAAAAGAATGATCTCCCAAGAAAGGTGGAGGGGACCAGCTGGGTTTCTACCCCACCCCACACTCCCACCCAGGTGGAGCTCTGGAGGCTCAGATGGGCCTGACCTATGACTTCCTAAGCCAGGCTCAGGATGACACGGAAAAGAGGACCCTCCTATAGTCCTTTTCCATCTGGTTGTCCCCCTTTCTATTCTTCCCATGGTTGTCCTATCTTGAGCTAGTCCTGCTGAACCATTCATAGAAAATGGACCTGTCTGTCGCTTCCTGCTTGACTATGAGATCCTCAACCATTCATAGAAAATGGACCTGTCTGTCGCTTCCTGCTTGACTATGAGATCCTCAGCCATTCATAGAAAATGGACCTGTCTGTCGCTTCCTGCTTGACTATGAGATCCTCAAGGACAGAGAAGAGTCTTAGCCATGTTGGTATCTCCAGCATGTGGAACCTTGCCTTTATTTGGGCATCCAAGCGTCTGAAGATTTGGGAAATGAGATGAAGATGATTAAGGATTCAGAGAGTCTCACCCTGTTGATTTGGCAGCCCGAATGTCTCTGTAAGTGTCCAGGCTGCTCCCTTTCTTTGGACCAACTAGGTACGCAGAAGAAACCAACAGCAGTCACCTGCAGTAACTGAGAAAGGCCCACTCTCCCTCTCCCTGGGCCATGTTCAATTCAAACAAATAAACACTTAGGATCTTTTAAATTCTTCATTGGTCATTCATTCCTCTGATTCAAGCACTATCAAGTGTTTAGATTTCTCTATTCATATAGCAAGAACAAGCTCATGGGACCAGCTTTCAGGCAGGTGGAACAGAATCAAGCAAGGGCTTCGGCCCCGGTGAAGAAGAAACACAGGAAGGTGAAGAAAGGAATGCTGAAGAAAAATGTGTTCCTCTCATAGTTTTGCCCTGTTTTTAGCATCTGAACTGTACACAGTGATTTCTTCAGTTTCTAGTTAGTTTCACCTATAGGTTCATATTTCACCATGTGGGGCTTGATGTCCCAAAACCTTTCACTGGGTTCACCTTTTCAATGTGCATTGACAATTGCCCGCCACTTGGCTAGACAGAATTCTCATCTTCCTGCATCATTTATCCACACTTGGCCTTAAGAGAGAATGAAAATAGAAAGTATGTTCACTCTCGCCTTCCAGACTAGTTACCATGCCTAGTCTGGCTCTGATCAATGAGAGGCAGATATTGGGATGTTGGCAAGAGTACTCTTGGGGGCCAAAGGGCTCAGCAGCTGTTTGGAGGGGAGAATGGGTCACACCACGAAGGGTGAACCTAATGGGAAAGTGGCAAATGAGAGGGGCTGTCCGGGAGTAAGGAAGCCACTAACCTATGGGAGGGTACCTGACAGGGGAGAGGGGAGGAGGTGAGGGAACCTGTCCCTCCTTACAAGAAAGATGAGCTGAAGGTCACCAGTTCCTTAAGAGATGAGACTCACAGCTTCATGGCTCAGTTTGTTTGGATGTTGCCTTCTGTTTTATAAGCAGTTCAGACAAGGACACTGGCTATCAACAAAATCTTATGGGTTATTAGTATCCTATTTTTAGACTTGAAAAGGCACAGTACATTTGTGATCAGAAGTGAGGGCCCAGCAGCTGCAAATTTGTTTTAAGTGTGTGGGGAAGTGGCTGATCTCCCCCAATCTAAGTCCCAGTACGAGGTAGGTGGGGACATATGAGCAGGACCTCAGGAAATCAACAGCTAGGCAAGAGATAGAATAAGATGAACGCTTTCAAGGAAAACAGGCCAAATTTTAAAAAGCTCTACTTTCTAAATCTCCAACTCATGCAAGGACAGTCAGAAAAAAATATGCATGGCTACTGTCATCATTTTTCCATTCACATGGCAGCCCACATTTACGATTTTTAGTGATACTTGATCACTAAAATCAGGTATCGTTTGAGCATCGTTTCTTTCTCTGAGTCCTTTTGCACAGAAACCTTTCTATGATGTAGACGATGCTTTTCTCACCAGGGCACTGAAACACAGGCACAAAGCAATAGACCAAGATCAGGCATGGCTTAGAGAGCAGTATGGGGATGGGGGTGCTGAGAAGCCAGGGCTCAGCCCAGGGATATGGACTGGTCCTAAAGGCCAGAGCAGGAAAAAGATCACCCTCAAGGGAGTCAAGTAAAGACTGCAGCTTGGAGGGGCCTAAAAGACCCTTAGTCACGAGAGAACCCTCCACTAGCTGCCTACTCTGAGGATTCTGGGAGCTATGCAGGTGACCCCTGGGACCTTTGGCCCCGTGTGAGGACAGATCTCATGGAGCAGAAGAGTCTCTTTCCCAGAATGGGCAGGCCCAGTGGGCCTAGGTTAAGACCAGGCTAAGAGCTTCCTTACCTCTGACCTTGGCCCTCTAGGGGTTATTACTTTTATGGTATGAAAAACCAGGAAACATTACTCAAGAGAAAAGTCTATCTACTGAAAACGTGTTTCTCTTGAAGACTCAGAGCAGAGCTGATCTGAACAACCCTTCTTGGAGCTAGAGACCAGTGGAGCTCCCAGACCTGTCTACTCTACCAGCCTCATGGGGTCTCCAAGAGGGAGAAAGGAGGCAGAGGGAAGATGACACAAAGCCAAGCCCAAAAGCCAGGACCACCACAAAGATGCCAGGACTTCTAATAACCTATTGGCTCTTCACCTGATCATTCTCTTTTTTTTTTTTTTGAGATGGAATTTCGCTGTTGTTACCCGGACTAGAGTGCAATGGCACAATCTCGGCTCACCGCAACCTCTGCCTCCTGGGTTCAAGCAATTCTCCTGCCTCAGTCTCCTGAGTAGCTGGGACTACGGGCACACATCACCATGCCAAGCTAATTTTTTTTTGTATTTTTAGTAGAGATGGGATTTCACCTTGTTGACCAGGATGGTCTCGATCTCTTGACCTCATGATCCACTGCCTCGGCCTCCCAAAGTGCTGGGATTGTAGGCATGAGCCACCGCGCCCGACCTCACCTGATCATGTTCATCCTGATCACTGTGACCTATCAAAGTCATTGCCCTGACCTGTATAGATCCATCCTGTCCTCAGAGACAGAATGGAAAGGGGGCCTTAAAGTGCCACAGCTGGAGAGGTGATCTGAGCACCTGGACTCAATCCCAGACAGTCAGGTGTGCATTTGTTATCTCTTCATGCCTGCTGAGTGACAGGCTTTTGCTAGCTGTTTTATAAAGATTCTAATACAGAATCTTCGGCCAGGTGTGGTGGCTCAAGCCTATAATCCCAGCACTTTGGGAGGCTGAGGCAGGTGGATCACGAGGTCAAGAGATCGAGACCATCCTGGTCAACACGGTGAAACCCCATCTCTACTAAAAATACAAAAAATTAGCTGGGCATGGTGGTGCACACCTGTAGTCCCAGGTACTCAGGAGGCTGAGGCTGGAGAATTGCTTGAGCCTGGGAGGTGGAAGTTGTGAGCTGAGATCATGCCATTGCACTCCAGCCTGGGTAACAAGAGTGAAACTCCATCTCAAAAAAAAAAACAAAAAAACAACAACATACAGGATCTTCACAGCAATCTTTGCAGGATATGTATCATTATTTTTATTTAATAGATGGAGCAACCAAGACTCAAAAGACTAAGAAATTTGCCCAAGGTCAGATGGGCTAGGATGTCAGCTCCAAAGCCCATTCTCTCCCTTCTGCATTGCATTTCTGAGGGTATCTGAGCAGAAAAGAGCAGAAACTTTGAAGCAATTATTTCTTGCTTAAGCCAAAAATAGCTTTAACCTTTCTTTGTCATCCAAGAACATCGTTATGAACGCCCTCCTTTGAAATGTACTACGATTCAATCTCATGTGAAGTATATAGGATTGTTCACCCCTATACCAAATGTTCCCCAAACATCTGTGCTGTAATCTGTGTTTCTCAGCGGCTTCCAGTCTTTTCAGTATTTTCATGCACAGCTGCTGCCAGCGGGCCTGGATAGTTCTGCCTTATTTATGAGACCGTTTATGAAAGCTTTTAACTGCCTGAAGGCCTTTTCTCTGACTTCAGTGCTCACCATTAGCCCCTGAAGGGCTGAAGTCAGCAAATGCCCGATTTCAACATCACTGAGGTACATTCTCTCAGCAGCTTACAAATCAAATTGAGTTTATCTATGAAAGTGTATTGTTTAAACTCTCAATTTTAGATTTGCAGGAAAGTCACAAAGGTGATGCAGAGAGGCCCCCTATACTCTTCATCCAGCTTCTCCTAATGTTAGCATCTTACCTATCCATGGTATGTTGTCAAAACTAAGAGACTAACATTGGTTGTGTATGTACATTTAACATGCAACAGGATACAAAACCTTCATTATGTAATTTCTGATTTTCTAGGTGATCTCATTTGCACACAGCTGTCTGGGAATCCAATTTCCTCTTGATGTCTCAGGTGATGAAGCTCTTCGTGAAAAAATGCTCTACTACCCGCTTCCCCAGTGAGAAGTTCATAGCTATGGAGAATCCAAACATCTAGTCTTTTACTTCTTTATTTTAGAGTTGAGTCAAGAGAAAGAATGAAATGTACCTACAGCAAAATAATAGCACAATACGTAAATGATTTTACAATTATGGTTTGATTGGTATATCAAGTCTTCAGATTTGCACCCATGGGCAAATTCTATTGACTTAATTATGGAAGAATAAATGAGTTAGTTGCTGCTGCATTGATTTCACATGACCCAGTGGATAAAATCCATTCTGCAATTTCCTGCTCCCTTAGATTTTAGAAAACTTGAACACAGCCATTTGAAAGTGTGGTTGTTTCTTTAAAAAAAACCATTAGGGAGTGGGACCACTATCTCATCGGTTCTCTGTTTAGCACCTGTATAACACCTGTAAATACACAGAAAAGAAGGTGGAGAACAGCAGGAGTGAAGGGGAGAAAGAAAAATGTATTTTCATGAGAAGACATGAAGAAAACTTCAATGTGTATTACTAAGGGAAAGACGACAATGTGAGAAGGCTGTATGCTGTACAATTTCAATTGTATGACAGTCTGGAAAAGGCCAAACTGGGGAGAATAAAAAGATCAGTGGTTGCTAAAGGTTAGGGGAGGGAGGGATGAATAGGCAGAGGGCAGATGATTTTTAGCACAATAAAAATACTTTTTATCGTAACTTCATAATGGATACATGCCATGGTACATTTGCCCAAACCCATAGATTGCACACCAACAGTAAGCCCTAATGTAAACTAGGGACTCTGGGTGATAATGACGTGCTAATGCAGGTTCATTGATTGCAACAACTGTACCACTTGGTGGGGAATGCTGACAATGGGAGATGCTGAGCCTGTGTGGGGGTGGGGGCAGACGGGGTATCTCTGTACCTTCTGCTCAATTTTTCTGTGAACCGAAGTTGGCCAAAATATAAAGTCAAATTTAAAAAAATGTAAGAGGTATTTTAAGGTTGTTGAGAGAGAAAAAAAAAATCAGTTAAATAAACTTGTGAGACATTCAGGTAACAAAAAACGAGGCTGCAGGAAACCCAGGAGACTTCAGCATCTTAGGGCAGGTTCCTGGAAACAAAGTTTGAGAGAGAGATTTGGGAAGGCCACAGAAGCAGCATCTATAAGGAAGTAAGGGGAGCAGGATGGGCAGAGAGAGAGGCTTGAAATGTGATCCCTTTATAGTGGAGCCTCAGCCTGCCCAACAGGCAGCTCTGGAACTGGCATGATCCTTTACAATGGTCCCAAACTGAGATGGGGAAGCTGGACCTCGTACCTCGGTACCAACCAGTCCTTGGATGCAGGCTATCCTTGCAATGGGGGCATAAGTTTAGTCAAGTCACCTTCCTCCATCTGAGGGCAATTTCTGGAGATAGACTTAGCCCTGAGCTGTCAGCTACCAACATTACTGGCAGCCAGAGCAATGAGTTCCTTAGTCCTGCAGCAGGGATCTGGGTAGCACACCAGAGCATCTGGTATACAGGGTATCCTCAAGTCCAAGAGAAAAGAATGCTTCAAGAAAGGAATAGCCAACCATATGGGATATTTCTGAAAGGCTGGGTTAGAGGAGGATATAGATGTGGCAGATGGAGGTCATTGTGATCTTAACCAGAGAAATTTTAGTGGAACTGGGAGAATGCAAATCCAACTAGAAAGGCTGAGAAGAGAAGGAAGGATGAGGAAATGAAGACAGCAATACAGACAATTCTCTTGAAATGTTTGAGGCCAACAAAAAGGAGCAGAGAGATTGGGTGTTAAATGGAAAGAGGCATGGGGCCAAGGGTAGTTCGTTACTTGCTTTAAGTTGGAAGATACTAGAACATGTTTGCTGACAAACAAAATGACATGAATGATTTAGGAAATTGAGATGCAAGAGAGGGAGGGGAGAGTTTCAGGAGTCATGTCCTTGAGAATGTGTGTATATATATATACTAGTTGCAAATGAGGCCATTAGATTATCTATCCCTGGAATTTGCAGTAGAGATTAAGAGTCAGTGGTCCAGGTACTCGGGAGGCTGAGGCAGGAGAATTGCTTGAATCCGGGAGGCGAAGGTTGCAGTGAGCCGAGGTCACGCCACTGCACTCTAGCCTGGCACCTGGTGATGAGTGAGACACTGTCTCAAAAAAAAGGAGTCAGAGGTCAATCCAGGAATGTCTCTTGAATGGTGATTTGAACCCAGGTACTAAGGAGTGGCCACTTTCCACCCACCGTATATTCAGTGAAGAGGAGAGAGCACGAAGCAGATGTGTGTACAAAGGAGAAATGGTTTTGCAAGTCCAAGGCCTCCCTGAGGCCTGCCTGTAGACCATCTTCTATGCCATCAAACACCCCTTTGTCTTTACTACAAATGTCCCTTTCTTGCTAAATTTAACTCTACCGAGATACTGATTTTTGCAACCAGAATCTTACCTATGATACGGAGCATTGCCTGATTGACATGCAATTAGCTTCAGGCCAAATGCCCCAGAAGATACCCTTGATATGAGCCAGCTTCAGCAAAGAGAGCTGCCCTGCCGTGTGACTCAGGCCTTTTCCTAGACCTGTACCATGGATCTTGACAACACTGATCTGTCTAGTGCCAGTCCACTGGGAAAAGACTGGATGCAAAGAAATGTAAAATCTAAGGAACAATTAAGATAAATCCAATCTATTTTTAAATAAATATTATCTAGACTTCAAATAGATACTATGAAGACTAGATAAACATAAACTAAAACAGGACACTGATGTTAATGCCCATTATTATAGTTTTGTAAAAAAACATGCATTTGCTCGGGAGGCCGAGGCAGGCAGATCACAAGGTCAGGAGATTGAGACCATCCTGGCCAACATAGTGAAACCCCGTCTCTACTAAAAATACAAAAATTAGCTGGGCGTGATGGTGTGTGCCTGTAATCCCAGCTACTCAGGAGGCTAAGGCAGGAGAATTGCTTGAACCAGGGAGTTAGTTGGAGGCTGCAGTGAGCCAAGATCACGCCACTGCACTCAAGCCTGGTGACAGAGCGAGACTCATCTCAAAAAAAAAAAAAAAAAATGCATTTGGACTGAGTTTGGTGGTGTGCTCCTGTAGTTCCAGCTACTCAGGAGGCCGAGGCAGGAGGGGTGCTTGAGCCTAGGTGTTCTGGGCTGTAGTGAGCTATACCTATCTGGTGTCTGCATTAAGTATGGCATCAATATGGTGACCTCCCAGGGACAAGGGACCACCAGATTGTCTAAGGAGGGGTGAACCTATCCAGGTTGGAATTGGAGAAGGTCATAATTCTCATGCTGAGCAGTCATGCAGTCGCACCTGTCAATAGCCACTGCACTCCAGTCTGGGCAACACAGTGAAAGTCCGTTTCTAAAAAAGAAAAAAAAAAAAACAACCAAAACACATTTAGGAAAAAGATGGGAAAAATATGATTATCAAAGTGGTAATAATAATAACGTGTTAGGTTAATGGGATCATGTGTGTTTCCCCCTAATTTTCTCTATTTTAATTCTAAAATGTGGCCATATTATGTATACAATTTAATACAATTCTTCTTCCTGAAGCTCACACCTGAGCAGCTGGGGTGGCTTCTGGGATGTCCCCAAGTTATCACAGAGTTTATGTCTAAAAGGAAGAAAATACTCACTCAAGACTTGGGGCCAAAGAAGGCCACCAGAGGAAGTAGTTAAAATCAAACAAGGCTGGGTATGGTGGCACATGCTGGCACTCCCAGCACCTTGGGAGGCTGAGGCGGGTGGATCAAGTGGTCACTTCAGGATGAGCCTGGCCAAGATGGTGAAACCCCGTCTCTAATAAAAATACAAAAATTAGCCAGGCGTGGTGGCCCATGCCTGTAATCCCAGCTACTCAGGAGGCTGAGGCAGAGAATTGCTTGAACCCACAAGGCGGAGGTTGCAGTGAGCCAAGATGACACCATTTTACTCCAGCCTGGGCAACAGATGGAGACTTTGTCTAAAAAAAAAGGAACACCTACCTTCTGGCCAGAGACACCAATTACAGTCCCACATTAAAGCCCAAGATGAGAACTCGGTGACCACTAGAGCATGATCAGATTTTTCAGCCTGTTCCCATTGCAGGAACTCTACCATGAAATCTCTGAAACGGAAGAAAAGGCTGGGCACACATGGCCAGCTCCCATGGCAGGCCCTGCCCCTTCCTGGTCCTCTCTTGTGCCTGCTCTCTCCCTCGGCATTGCTCTTCCTCAAAGCGCCAAGGGTTTTATTAGGAACCACACTGAGCACTGACCCCGAACTTAATCTTCGCTAAATACTTCTAAATTACCTTAATGAGGATTCCCCTCCACCTCCCAGGGAGGCTGGTTTAAAGGTTGTCCTGCGACTCTTCTTTCACAGTGAGGTACAACAGGTCATTGAATGGCTTGCTCAGAGACCTGCTGGGGCAACTGGAGCAAGAACTTTGTGTTCCTCTGGCTCAATACTTTTCTTAGCTCACTGAGCTCAGCCAATGCTTCAGGCAAACGAGAACTGAAAAGAATAAACAGCGATGGGGGAGGGAGGACTCGTCTCCTAAGCTCTGCCCTGAGTGAGCAGCCCTGCTTCTGTGCACCTGCTCCGTCCCTGACCTTTCTACTGTTACAAACAGACCAATGGAGCCCCATTGTTCCTCCAGCTTCAACAGAGGCCAAGGAAGAATTGACTGCTACGGGGTTCAGGTTCACCAAATGAATGAGACTCCCACCCCAGAGCTAAAATATAATACAATGATTGGCCTTGTGTTTGTGGATAGTAATAACTAAGGCAGGTCGCAGCATGTTAACAGGAAGTTCTTCCTAGGTAGCAAAAGAATGTGGGAATAAACTGAAAAGAGGCCCCACCCACAGACGACTGGAGCCAGTTATCAAATAAACTGAAATTAATGACTTTATATTTCAATATTGCTATTTAGCGAGTGGTACTGTGTGCAGGACCCATGCTAGGTGGTAAGCAAAGCCACAGCAGTCCCACCTATCAGTATCCACTGTCAGGGGCCAGGGATGCTGGTCAGGTAGGCTGATGTCTTCGTGAATCCCAGGAGAGTCTAGAGTAGTCTATGCGGTCTCTTGGCAAGACCAGATAAAGGCAAAAGGCAGGTGCAGAAATCACAGCCATAGAGAGGTGCCTGGAGTCACCCTGCTGGTGGGACATGGAAGAGAAGCCAAAAGAGTTAGCAGGGTTGCATCACCTCTTACCTGACCTTGACCGCAGGTCTCTGCTTCAGTGCCACTTCCTCCCAGAAGTCACCCAGTGACTCTCAGGTGTATGTTAAGCTCCCCTGTTACATACTCAGATTGTACCATTCATGAGCATGATTGTTTGATTAGAGGTCTGTTTCCATGAAAATAGGGATGGGAGAAGGGGCTCTTTTATGTTCCCAGTTTGTCCTCAGCCTGGCACTAATGGGCTTTCTATTCATACTTAGCAAGCTACTAGGCTTCACAGCACTTACCACATCAGAAGGCTGTATGTGCCTGGATAATTCTTCATTGACTATCTTCGTCCTTGCTAGACTGTAAATAGTAAGAGCACAGGAACCTCCTTTGTTTTGTCCTCCATCACCTATACCTCTGGCACAGCACTTACACATATTGCTGGCAGAAATAAATAATAAGTGAATAAACTAACATGAACAAAGGTCTAAAGATTAGAAGTGGGTAGAAAAAGGAAGACAATACAGAGGTTAGGAATTCAATATGTGCAAGAACAGAGTTAGGCGAGCAGAAAGTGAGAAAGCACAGGACTTTTCTATCAGTGGATGTGCAATGCCTAGACTCTCCTTTTTGGGAATGGACTGCATGGTGGGTGTAGTTAGGGGAACAGGGAAGGTGTGCCACTATATTAGAGCTGACTGACCAAGTCCAAATCTTCTTTATCCTAGAAGGAAAGCTAAGCTGTTTATTTCTCTTCAAAGCGCAAAGCAGGAACCTTTTTCTTTTGCGTGATGAAGACTCAAGCTCCTGCAAAGTTTGGGGAGCAGGGGAAAATGGTTCAGCAACCTGCAGGCTGCGGATTCCACAAAGCAAAGTGGATCCTGGACTCTTGGCTGGGAGCTTTAGTGCATCTTGCAGAATCCCTGAATCACAAGAGCCTGACTAGTTATGCGGCTGCCTTCTTCTCTGGTAGGTAGAGGCCTTACCGTGCATCATTTGTGGCTGTTTTTGCTGGACCGTCCAATCCCCTTTCTTCCCAGGTGTGAGTGCAGAAGGCTCAGAAAGGGTTCAGGAAGGAGCGTGAGCTTGCATGATGATATGAGAAGATGTGGTCCATCTGAAAAGCTACACAAGGCATCTCTCATCTTTCTCTTTGCAATAACTCTCTCCCTGGATCCCTAGACAGTGCTTGCCAGAGTTGGCTGCTGTAGTTTCTTAGCTTCACCTGGAAGTTAAGAAACTACAGAAACAGTGTGAATATTCAAGAAGTATAAACCAAGTTCCAGATGGGAGTTTCCGGAACTGTCTTTTTCTGGGTGATCTCCTCCTCCTTCCACCACCATACTAAACCTTGTTTGGATGGGCTGTTTTTATGAAGTTCCTTCTTGTCTCCAATTTCTGCTTCCCACCCTTTTGGTCACCAAAATGGAAGGGAGAGCACTGCATTTTTAAAGCAGCTGACTGACTCCCACAGCAACACACACACACACACACACACACACACACAAACACCTCTCCAAAACACTTTATTTTTAGCAAGCAAAAGGGATGGGGCGGAAAGCAGACTTTTGCAATTATCTATCTTATTTCCTGGTCAATCCATTTGGATGGTGACTGATAGATTTTCAAATGGAGCCTCATAGTTTAAGGTGCCTGCACTGTGATGGACTCCATCTTGTTGCAACAAGCAAAGTATTGATCACTAATGCCTTGTAGGGCTTCTGGGGGAATAGAGGTGGCTTGCACTGCACCATGCTCACCTACTTTTCAATTTATTCATGTTAATTTTACCGATCTCTGAAGGGGGAAGAAATGTTTCCTTCCGTGTGTGTGTGTGTGTATGTGTGTGTGTGTGTGTGTACATGTGTATGTGAGGTATGTATGTGTGGCTGTGTATGAATGTGTGTGTGTTATATGAGTCTATGTATGGCTGTGTATGAGTGTGTGAGTGTGCATGTGCGTATGTGAGTGTGTATGTGTATGAGTGTGTATGTATTTGTGTATGTGAGTGTGTGTGTGTGGCTGAATGTGTGTATGTGTGGCTGTGTATGAGTGAGTGTGCATGTGTGTGTGTGAGTGTATGTGTGTGTATGTGAGTGCGTGAGTGTGTATGTGTGTGTGATTACTCTTCCATCTAATATTTTAGTCCAATTCATCGCCCCTAATTTTCAAGAGAAATTTACTTAAATTTTTTTAGTTCATGTGTCACAAATGTTGGTTTTCTGTATCACTTGACTAGCCTAAAAAACGTTGGGCTTCTGTAAATTGCACTTGCTTGATTTAAGCTGTTGTCTAATTTGGTCTTAATCATAACAAAAAAAGCATACACAACAAAAATTCTTTGGAGTTTTACTGAAGTGAGGAGTTTCTATGTTCATTCAAATAAAATGCTCGCAATCATGTTTTTACTGAAGTACTAGGACATAAAATGCTATTTCGAGGCAGGAGTAGAGTCATTCCCAAACTTGTAACTCTAAAATGATCTCATTCTGCTAATAAATGGAGCCCAGCGTAAGTGCTGACATCTGCAGGCACTGTCTTACACTCTTTATTGTCGGCCTCTTGGCCTGATTTCAGCTTCCACTGCCCTGCCAGCTACATAGGTGTGCATCAGTCACTTCGCTTTTCTGAGTTACCGTTTCCTTCTGTGGCTCACAAGGTGACCGTGTTTGCCCATTTCTAAGGCCCCCCTCTAGCTCTGGAGTCTCATGATACTTTGAAAAAGGAGGAAATTTAGAATAATCTTGTCCAAGGCCAAATCTGGACCACTGCCTGATTTTGTATATTTCACACACTAGGAATGGCTTTTTTACAAGTTTTAGTGGCTGGGGAAAAAAAACAGTATTTCAAGAAACTTAAAAATGATGTGAAATTGAAACTTGAGCTTCCATAAATAAAGTTAAACTGGAACGCAGCCATGCTTGCTTGCTTGTGTATTGTCTGCGGCTGCTTTGACACGACAATGGCAGTGTTCAGCAGTTGCCATGGAGACAAGCCTATAATGCGGCCCAGAGGCCTAAAATACTTACAATCTGGCCCTTTCCAGTAAAAGGTTGCTGGCCCCTGGTCTTGTCCAACTGCTTGACAGATAAGGAAATTGATGCTGAGTGAACTGGCTTGGCCAAGGTCCTGGTTCTTAAAGACAAGGCATAGTTAGAGGAAGAAAGAGGCAAATAGCCATTTTGAAGCATCCAAAGGAACAAAAACAATGAATAATAAGCCAAGATTAAGGATGAAAAAGTAATTTTTTCCTCAAATGCCAAAGGATAATGTGTTCTACAACAGATAAGGACAAAGCATCATGAAACCTTCCAGCACCCTGCATTATTTGTGAGGAAGAACTGATCTTTTCTTAATCTGGAATCAGATGACGATGGGTTGGTGAGGAGGATTTGGGAAGTGGGTCGATGACGGCAGAAACGGCTCGAGATTCTTCAGACTGATAACACTCCAGGAAGCCTACCTCCACAATTGCCGAAGGAAATGAAGGTGGAAACGCTTTAGTGGGTCTTTTCAAAAGTGCAGATCTGGAAGGGGTGAGGCAGTGCAACGTTTGGGGACAGGAAGTCTGGACTAGATTAGAACATTCATCAGATGGCGTTCCAGTGTTAGGAAATCCTAATGCCCTTTATGACACAGAGGCTCAATTTAGAATAGTCAGCATTGTTCTGATGCTGGTCCTTACTAACCTCCTGACAGGAGGTTAAATAGGAGCAAAATAAATGTTGCATTGGCAACATGGCAGTTTTGGAAAGTTTAGATAAAGACCCATGCAGGAATAAAGCTCCTCACCATTCAGTTTACACAGGGTGGATTGCCTTTGCCTGGGAAGTTACTGGTAGTGCCTAGTAAATATTCCATACTGAAGTATAAATGGGACTAGATGAAACCGCTCCAATGTCCAAACTGTTGGCAATCCATGAGGTACTAAACATTATCCCTGTGGGAAGGGCCTGGAATCTCAATCCCAGCACTATGGGAGGCTGAGGCGGTAGCGTCACTTGAGGTCAGGAGTTCAAGACCAGCCTGGCCAAATGGTGAAAGCCATCTCTACTGAAAATACGAAAATGAGCCAGGTGTGATGCTTGGTGCCAGGTACTCCCAGCTGCTCCAGAGGCTGAGGCAGGAGAATCACCTGAATCCGGGAGGCAAAGGTTGAGTGAGCTGAGATAGCACCACTGCACTCCAGCCTGGGCAACAGAGCAAGACACTGTCTCAGAAAAATGAAATGAAATAAAATAAAATAAAACTAAACATGCCAAATAAGATTTACCCTGGGAAATCCAATCATTTACAACACACGATATGGGTGCTGCGGAGTCAGTGAGAGTCAGAACATTACTGCCTCAGTTTAACTCGATGACAGGCTGTCCAGAGTTGCATCCAAAAGCTACTACTTGCATTGCCATGTAAAGTTGGACAGCTTGCTAAACCTCTCAAGCCTCCGTGTCTTCTCCTGTAATGCCAGTAACAAAGACAATAATAACGGCACCGCCTTTGTGGACTGCTGTATTGAAATGAGGTTTTAGAGGTAAAGTGCTTGAGAGATGTTGGTCATTAATGAGTGCTCATTAAATGTCTTCTGTTCACTGCTGGCTGCACTGTATGGCATATTAACTGACAGCATGGATTTGGGTGCAAACAGTTGTGGGATGGAGTCCCAGCTTCACCTCCGAGTAGCCTTGTAACCTGAGGCTTCGTTGAGCTTCAATTTTTCTACTGTAGAGCAGTGGTAATAGTTACCCCAAGGGATTGTTGTGAGGATGAAATGAGAAAATGTGCTTACCATGCTTTGAAGAGTTTCCAGCACTTGGATATCATTATCATCCAGCAGCATCATCATTATTGATTGGTTGGTTCTGCCATTAGAAATCTTCTGAACACAGCCTTCAACACAGTAAGCCTGCTATAAGATGCTTATGTGGTACACAGAATATAAAATGTTTTCACGGCCTGGCATGGTGACTCATGCCTGTAATCCCAGCATTTTGGGAGGCTGAGGCAGGCAGATCACGAGGTCAGATCAAGACCATTCTGGCTAATACGGTGAAAACTCATCTCTACTAAAAATACAAAAAATTAGCCAGGCATGGTGACACGCGCCTGAAGTCCCAGCTACTTGGGAGACTAAGCAGGAGAATCACTTGAGCCCGGGAGGTGGAGGTTGCAGTGTGCTGAGATTGCACCACTGCACTCCAGCCTGGGTGACAGGGTGAGACTCTGTCAAAAAGAAAAAAAAAAGATCAAAATAGAAATGATTTGATCCAGTGAAGTTCCTCATACACATTAGAAAGGCCAGGAGACACTACTGAGAAGAACCCCAGGGCCAACCCTGCCTGCCCCAAAACCCTCCAGGCAAGCCCAGAAGGTGCTGCATGGATTCCCGACTTCAGAACCGCTGGGGTTCCTGCTTCTTGTTTGCTCACCTTCTTTCTGCTAAATTCTGTTATTCTCGTTTGCTGTCAGGCTTCTCAACATGTGTAACTCACTGCTGCCATACTGCCTCATGTTCCAGGTCATATAGGTAAATACTAGTCTCATCTTTGTCAACAATTAGGCAGAAGCCACTGACTCTGAGGAGGAGAGGAAGCCTTCGTATCCGGCCCGATCGCCTTTCTTAGTGTGTGGAACCCATGCTGTTTCCTGCCATTAACAGATCTGTTTGCTTGTCTAATATTCCCAGATTAAACGACCCAGTTCCACTCTGATGGGCTTGACAAACCTGCTCTCTGTATTACTCGCTGCCCTGCACCCTTTCATGCCTGCTGACTCCTCCGCAATGATCAGAAGGGAGCCAGTCTGCTGAGATTAAGGAATTACAAAAACATGCACTGGAGGTTTCAGTGGTGCCCTATTTAGCATACATTTTGTGATAAGTCCAAGGTGTTGTTTCCACTAGATTTCAGAACTAAAGATCACTTCTGCCAGGTCAGCCAGATTGGTAGACTTGGCTTTCCATCCATTTCCCCATGTGCCTGTATGGGTGGGACACTAGAGAATAAATAATGCAGAAAATTCAGGGTCCTCTATTCGTAGATTGATTCCTATCAGAATCACTTCTTCTCAGCTCTTCATTTTGCTGATGAGGAAATCAGGAAGCTGTAATTCACAGCTGGATTCTAGTCAAGCCAAGATAGGAGCTTAGCTTTCCCTACTCGCGGGCCACTGCTCTTTCCTCCTTAAGTTCTGTTGCCTTCCAGGCTTAGCTGGAGTGGATTTTCTCTCTTTTTTAAAATTTATCTTTTAGAGACAGCATCTTGCTCTTTCACCCAGTTTGGAGTGTAATAAGATGATCATAGCTCACTGTAGCCTTGAGCTTCTGGGCTGAAGGGATTTTCACACCTCAGTCTCCTGAGTAACTAGGACTACAGGTGCATGCCATCATGCCTGGCTGGAGGAGTGAATTCTCCTCGGTGCCTTTTCCTTTCATTCTGTGCAGCCATGACTCCTTTGGAGTGAGCCTAATCTGTCTTCTTACCCTTGGGTCCCAGCTAATGTCTGGACTTCTCTGTGCATGTCATTCTCTGCAGATTTCCCCCAGTGGCTTGTGCTCAGACCCAGTGCTTATTTGGGATGAATAATTCAGCTTCTTGGATCTAACTGGCAGAAAGACTTGGAATGTGGAGCTGAAGCCACTGCATGTTCTCTCAGCTTTGGGAAGGCTCAGAACCCAAGTTCCAGTAGAAAAGCCAACTCTGAGCTAGGCCAGAAACCAAGAGGGTCTTGGGACCTGGAGACTCCCACCGCTCTCTGCCTTAGCAGCCAGAGTCCTGCAAGGCCAGTCTGAGGAGTGTCCTGGTGCCTTACACCCATGGTTGTAGGTTGAGTCAAAGGGTGACCATGAGGCTTTTGTCTCCAGGACCCAGTGATATTGGGCTCCAATGGTATACACCAAGTGGGTGGTCAAAGGCAGAAGCCCTGAGGGGAATGTGGGGAGCCAAGATACAAAAGAGTGTCAGAAACCAGACAGGAGCTCCTGGAAAATGTGTCTGTGTGTGTGTGTGCGTGTGTGTGTGCGTGTGTGTGTGTGCGCGTGCGTGTGTGTCTGTGTGTGTCTGTGTGTGTGTCTGTGTGTGTCCGTGTGTGTGTGTCTGTGTGTGTGTGCGCATGTGTGTCTGTGTGTGTGTGCGTGTGTGTGTGTGCGTGCGTGTGTGTGCGTGCGTGCGTGTGTGTCTGTGTGTGCGTGTGTGTGTCTGTGTGTGCGCGCGCGTGTGTGTCTGTGTGTGTGCGCGTGTGTGTGTCTGTGTGTGTGTCTGTGTGTGTGCGTGTGTCTGTGTGTGTGTGCGCACGTGTGTCTGTGTGTGTGCGTGTGTGTGCATGTGTGTGTGTCTGTGTGTGCGTGTGTGTGTCTGTGTGTGTACAGGTCTGTCCTGTCTCTGCCAAGACACCCATGTGGGCGAATCTTCCCAGCAATTATTTGGGGTAGATGTTATTCTCCCAATTTAAAATGCTAGAAGAAGTTATTTGCCAAAATCACACAGCTGGTAAATGTCAGAGCCCAGACTAGAGCCCAAGCCTTCTGACTTCACAGCTCATGTTCTATCCAGGTCACCAAGCTGCCTTCTAGAAAGGTTTACCTGTGTTTACCAGAGTTCTCTGACTGACATATGTGATAGCAGTCCTAGGGCTGGAAGGATTCATCATCTAGTCCAACTCTAAGTACATTGATTTCCTTGGCCACAGCGGTTCTCACATCATGCCCTGAAGAGGGCCTCAGAGATTTTAGTTGGGACAGAGAAGGAGGATGGACATGGGTCACCTGCTCTTTCCACTCAGCCCTCAAACCCCGTCACTTCAACCAGAGCTACTTACTTCTTTGAGTTGGGAATGGGTTTAGACAACCTTAGTTCTTCCACATTCTCCAGCCTCGGCTTCAACACCTAGCATAAAAGAGAAGGGCCCTAGAGCTAAGCAGGTAAAGATCTCTGGGCAGTGCTTATGGCATTGTCTTCTTGGCGGAGGAGCCCTGCACCACCAATAAAAGTGTGATGAGCTAAGCCTAGTACAACCACAGAAGTTAATGGCTGCCTTAGAATTTCCTCACATTCATTCATTCCCTTGAGAATCATTAAATTAGAGCCACTGTACATCTGATCCAGCAATCTGGCTTTTACAAGGCTCCAGTAGACTATGCTGTGGGACAAACAGGGTAATCTCTCTGATATCACCCTCAAAAGATTAAAGAAGAACACTTTTAAATCACAGCTAGTGATCTATCAGGCACAAATTTATCTAAACTTTTTAATAGAGTTGCTGTTTATGTTTTTGGCTATCATCACCTCTTGTCATGACAAGTTCAGGAAGTTGCCACCACCTGGGCACTTCCTTTTACCTGCCCTATATTTACCTCTCTCACTTTCCAGGGGTAACCCTCAGGGTGCTGAGTGTTGGTAAACATGCTCAACCTGCTGTGGCCGAAGCACCAGTTGAACAAATAATTCTTGAATTGACAGTACTGACAAATGGCGTCATCATAAATGCATATTGGCCAGGTTTTCAGTCCATTAAAATCCTTTCTAGGAGAGGGGTCACCAGTGTTCTGGAATCTTGGACATGCTGAGCAGCTTTTCTG